TCATCCCTTTTCCTACAGAAAACTGGTTCTCTTTGGAATTGTCTTCCACCCCGATTGACAACTTTAGATTCCCTATCTGAATTCAAGCGTCATTTACGTATTCACATTGCTAAGTATCAGTTCGACTGCAATGGTACACCTTTGATGTGCAATCATTGATTTACATGCTTGTTCTTTTCTTTTCTGTCTTACTTTCTTTCCTTGTGTTTCTCCCGCATCCATAACTATGTTACTAGTACATACACAAATAGGAGATCCCCCAGATAGGCGTTAGCCTTTGGGTAATCCTGAAATAAAGATTATTATAAATCATGGCAGGTTGGAACATTTCAATAGTGACCAGGGTTTTCTAAGCATCCTTGTGCCAGGCACTCAGACCTGATAATGTGCTACCTTGTCCTGCGCAGAATGCATGTATGAAGAAGTTGATGAAGGAGACGTTTTGCTGAGCGAAACTTCGCATGGATTTTCGAGCCTGGGCTTGCGAATTTATTGTTATTATGCTTGTTCGCGTTGACATCACCAAGCAAGCTTGGTCAGTCTTCGCATATGCCAAATGAACAGAAGAAATGAGGACGAGCGAGGCTAATGAGGTGAACACACGCGTGCAACTGAAGAATAGGCAGAAGGAATATACATGTACATGTACATGACAAGACAGTCCCGAAAACACACGAAATGTTAAAACTATTTACTTCAACAAGTAAAACTGGACACGGATGAATACAGCAATCATAACGGCTGACGGTACATAGTGGCAAAGCGACATAACACGCGTATTCAGGATGGTACAATTCCGCTTATAAACTGAGGCCAAGAACCACGTTGTGGAATATTTCTGCGAAATTTTGTGTTTTGCATGATTCTCACTCCAAGACAGTACTCGTGCGCGTGCACTCGCACTCGCACTTGTTTGAGAAGTGGTCTTCATCCGATTTTCTATTTCTTGCGAGTGGCGGCACCCTGAGACGAGAGCGTTTTGACAACATTGTCCACCGCCGGAGATTCACAAACAAACGGGTTGGTCTGTGCCGTAAACCGGCTCATCGACACCTGAAATTAGAAAAAAGCAATACTGGTGAGAAGATTATTACTAGGCAGGAGTTCGAAGTTGGTTCTGGAGATGAAGCAACACGTGATGCCATAGGGAAAGCTAGCACTGGCGGACCAAGCCAAGAGAAGATCTAGTGCTGGATTGTAAAGATGAAGCACAAAATGAGGATTGAGGATGGATGGCTGACTGTACACCACCTGCCTGCGATGAGCGATATTGCTGCGAAAGTTTGTTTTGAGTTTCCTTCAACTTTCGCGTTTAAAGCTGGCGTGTGGCTATCTCATCGAATCAACATAACTATGCTCCCTTCCACTGCCTCCCTCTGTCCTTCTCTGCCTGTCTCTCTTTCTCTATTTCATCTTTAAAGACTCTCTGTTTCACTTCTCTTTCTCCCTATCTCTCTTTTATTTCTCTCTCCTTCTGCCGTACGCACTCGCTCCTGCTACTGGTGCCGATCCTGTTGCCCTAAACTACTCAAAAGCCCTTGTGTTCGTAACACGTGCCATTTGTTTGTCATGATGAGCTACATTTGGTGGACATAAGGCAGGATAGGATGAGAGTACAGACAATACTGGCAGCTGCATCTGGGCAAACATGGCTGCGGGTGCCGTGTTGTTGGGGTACATTGCAGCCAGCCGCTCGCACTCAGAACACTTTCAATGACACGAAAATGCCAATCACCTTATTAAATGTGGTTTCCTCATCTTGAAATAATCTCCTCGGAGTACTTAATAACTGGCGACAAAGTCAAGATGGACATCATGCAGCCGTTATCATCTACAATTGGGCTTTGTGATCTGGTTTGAAGCCCTACACTATAATCATGGAGATAACGCATACCTCTCTTGGGCGTGCAGTACTGTACCAACCAAGCAGCACCTCCTGTTGGGACATCTTTATTGACGTTCAACCAGCATATTAGAGCGGTTAAGATGTACGTCACTTCTGACGTGATGCGAAAGTTCGGCTCGCTTTTGTTTGGCTCTCGCGTCGAAAAACAACGCACGCGACCTGCAGCTCACGTCGAAATTTGGTGTTTTACGCCAAATTTGACGTGAAATTGCGCGTCACGTCGGAAATAACGTGCATAGCTCGCTGAACATCCCATTGCTTGGTAAGTTGCTAATCCCTTCCCACTTTGTGTTTTCTTTTTTTCTCTTCTTCCGTGGTTGGTCTCACCCTCTCCTTAATTCAATTGGCTGTCTTGACATGCCACGAGGTGCAGAAATAAATAAATAAGTCTTAATCTCTCTAATAACGTGATCAGCGCGCGGATGGATAGCTCATCCGTTCTCCATCGCTTCTACTCCATCTTGGTACAGTTATTATGTTCTGATCATATTTGGTCCCATCCACCGTAAGAGACTCCAAGGAACAAAGTTATCACAAAAAAACAGAGGTCAAGCTAGGGTGATCGTTGATGTACGTACTAACGCTAGACATGGTTAGAATGTTATCGTTGACGCTAACTTCGACCATCGGCCTGTAGGTGTTTTTTTGTGTTTTAAAGACATGGGTGGCATTTCGACTTCTGACATAACAATCGGATTGTGACGTAACCCTATTTGGAATATTATCGTTTCGTTCTCCCGCTAAACAGAGCTTTCTTTAGTCTCAACGATGCCAAACCGGCGGTATTTAGGGTGCTGGGCACGAGTACAGCTAGGATTTAGCGTGAACGGTAAAAATGCTAACCATATGTATTTTATGAATAAACGCCGCGGGGACAACAATTCTAATAAAGCAATAAAAAGAAAAATCACTCTCTTAGTATTGACTCCCATTGATTTTAGCTATACCAAAGCAGTCAAATATTCCTGCATATTTCACTACTTAGGGCTATATTGACTGCTTTTATTTGACTGCTTAGCTGTTGCGCAGTTGAACGGTGCCTAGTGCAGCATGGCCACTGCATGAGTAGGTGATGGTGCAACGGTTGTGCAATCATAAAACCGGGAATCATGAGGTTATCGTTCTGGAATTTGAAATACGGACTGTTTGTCGTGATAAATCTAATAATTATTGACTTCGTACTTGGTCAGTATAGGAAATAAAAGCCGAGTAAAAGGCCGAGGCGAAGCCGAGATCTTTTACGAGGTTTTATTTCCTATATTGACCACGTACTCAGTCACTATTAGATACCTAACTCTGCCGTCACCATGTCTATTACGAACTTAGAAGTTGCGACTTCGGCTCAATGTGAGCGAGTCAAGTGTCAAGTTTGGAAGGAAGCGTGTGTTTCTCGTTGGAACAATCAACTTCATGTCTGTCTTGTTTTTATAACGTAAGTGGCGTGAAGTGGAGAAGATTCAGTAGTACACACACTCTCTCTCTCTCTCTCATACACACACGCGAACACACAGACACTCGCACACATGTATTACAGTTACTATCCACTGCACTCCGAATGGATGTACCGGGTGTTAGCTGCCGCTGTGAGTTCCCTCGGAAATGGACAAGATACATGTGGATTACTTACTAGCTTCACACCAGTCCTGGTCATTTCGATCAATTCAAAATGCTGTACATTGTGCTAGAAAAACCTTTAATGTTTCAATCGGTTTTCTCCTGGAACCCGCTACGAATTTGGTTTCCCTCCCCAAGAGCATTGTCCTCTAACACAAACCGCATACTCACCTTGGCTGACACTGTCCATTCCAGCTGCGAAACTCAGCTACATCAAACAGCCTCTTCAGAACCCTTGATTAACTTAGCGCCACCTTGTCCGTCACTTCCCTAAACTCTGCTTTAAAGTTCTATGATGACCTACCAAGGCACACAATTCAATAAGATGACCACGTGTCCAGAGGAGCACCAACACCAGGATAAAAGGATGTAGTTTCCAATCAAATAACCCTGGGTAAGGAAGGTGACAATCTGTGTACGCAGATCAACCACATTTCTAAGGGTCTCTAGCGGCCAGCTCAGGCGGGTTCCATGGTATTTCTCTTCTTTAGCACGGTGAGCCGTTTCCCGATTCAGGGTTCTAGTTCTCAATTTTCTTCTCTAAGTATCTCGTTACCGCCTTTGAGGCGCCTGCAGGAATAACGAAACGAAAAGACTTCATAATTCATAGTAATCTGGCTGTAAGGATATTGAGGCCTGCAGCTATACAATGGGAATTTCCTCAATACTCTCCTGCTCGTATTGCACTTTTGTACCCATTTTCCCCATGGTCGTTTTTCAGGAAAGGCGCAATGGTGATTCAGACTATAAAAGGAGAACAAGTAGTAGACTTTTTAGGGGTTTGTTGGCGGAAAGCAAGCCAGCAGACGAGGTACAGACACTACCCGAGTTTTAGGCTGGGCCTTCGCACCATCACACTTCAGGATCGGTGCATTAATGATACGGGCGGCAAGAAAAAGTTAAAAATTATAGTCCTTGCATGTCGCATTCTTGGCAGTCAAAGTCGGTGACACAAACAATGACACCTAAAGTTGCATGAGTGGCGATAATCGAATAGAGAGCTAGATATAAGGGCTTGTATGTTGGTGCTCATATCACCATTCTAGCAACTTAGTAACAGTGCGAAAGGTCTCGGGGATATTACCAATGACCTTCTTCCTTCGTTTTCTGAAAGTAGTACGATTTCTGAGATTCCAGTGATTAGTATGTTACAAGAGTTGGAGATGGGAGTGCCACCGTTTCCCCTAACGCGCAACGGACACTCAAAGAGACTAGCGCACCAGCACACATACAGTGTTGGAAACTGAAATCCCGCCCCTGAGCGATGCTTTCACATTCTAGCGGTTTCTACATGTATTTCGTAGTTTTACAATCCCGTGTTGGGTCTTTGCGATGTGAGCGCACCGCTCAGGGGTCGGATTTCAGTTGCCAGCAGTGTACATGCACAAGTACATGCATATACCCCCCCCCCCCATGCCCACACACACACACGAGCATACACGTACACGTGAGCTGGAGATAGCACAATTAAGCCATAGCGTTCGTGGGTTGAAAGTACTTATCTACTATGTGATGGGAATGAGATCTGAGATGACACCTCACTATGTACAAGCCTGCACACACGTACATTTGACATGCATGTAGACTCTACATATGAAGTGATATCGCGAGCAAGAAAGGCAGACCGTAATAGAATTTCTCCCTGTGTAAACAGGCTAATCAAAACAAGATCATGGATTGACAGTGTTGCCTTATCATCCGTACATGAGATCGACTACACGCACACAAGTATAAGGGAAAGGAAAAGATCATGATGATGTTGCTATGGCTGGGTGCATATCAGCTACTGACAAAGAGTTTCTCTACCGGTAATACTAGGCGTGACCACAGAGGTACCCCAGCTGTTATGAGCCAAGACTCGCAGATTGTCTCCGCCTCGATCACCATGCTGCTTCTCGGGGACGAAGCCAGCTTGCGAGCAATCGAAGCGTATCTTGAAAGAACCGCGCTTTGCTCCCATGATCTCATGGGTGGAGCCACCAGAAGAGCAGCTGAGGGCGGAGGAGTTGTAAACAACTTGAAACCACGATTCCGATGGTTGCACCCTGGGGCGAGTCACGAACACGAAAGGAGACCTTACCTCCCTACCACCTAAGACAAAGGAAAACGTGGAAAGCAAGAGAATAGAATTGCTTATCGCCTCAGAGCAAATGGCATGCACCTAGCTTAACCGCCGTGAACCTCCTTCCTATCTACCTATCGTGTTTTCATTCTGCAACCCACTGTTCTCTCTCTCTATTTCAGTCTTGCTCTCTCTCTCTCTCTCTCTCTCTCTCTCTCTCTCTCTCTCTCTCTCTCTCTCTCTCTCTCTCTCTCTCTCTCTCTCTCTCTCAGGAGTAGTCTCCAGTATACATATAGCTGTTGTTCTAGGGCCAACGTCTAGTGGATCTGTTACACCAAAGGCATCAACACGTGATGCAATGCCCGAAATTGGAAATGTTGGTCATCTCACCAGAATAATTATTATTATATCCTTCTTCTACGGGATTTAGTCTCTCGCTTCTCGATGCTGTGCAATCTGCTTGATAGAGCTGCTGGGCTCGAAATTGTCAACAAATGCGTTGACCTCATGCAATGAGTGATATGCGAAATGTCATTATTATGAATATTATTATTATTCTACGGGATTCCACTGTCGTCCCCCACACAATATGCAGCAACTGGTCTGGTTATGTCGACATAGAGAAAACCATGAAGGGAGGAGAGAGAGAGTTTTTGTTGTGATTGCTGCTGTTGCAGAATATCAGATTGTTTGGTCCAAAGGAGCGTATACAATGCCTGTCATGAAGGCCTATAACGTGTAGCATAAGCTGCTTACCTTCTATGTGTGTTCTCCAAGCTGTGACTCCGGACAAGCGGCGAGCAGTACAGCGAACTTTGAATGAACTCGAGCGTGCTTTCTGTTTCCGGCAAACCTCGCAGCTCAGCTCTGGTACACCTAGGGAAGCGTGAATGCATGAACAGGATAGAGGGAAATGAATTACAAGAGTCACTTCCATTCACATAATTATTATTATTAATTTTATTCATGTTTTACTAGTTAAGGAATTCCCCACAGGCTACGCCTTTTTTCAGAGAACCCTAGGAACATTTTGATAGATTAGGACGTGTTAGTCAAGCCTCCGCACTACAAAACACCTGGTGCAAAGGACACAAGAAACGATTGATCTGGCTTTGAAAAACACGTGGTTCATATGAAAAAAAAGGTTCAACGAGGTATTTATGATGTTCTACGATTTGGAACGATAAAGATTTCTGTTTCACTGTGGTTATGGGTCAGGCCAGGTAAGCGGCAAAGAGACCGTTTTCAACTGATTGAGTTATCATCATCATTATTATTATTATTATTATTATTATTATTTATTCAAATTTTAAAATAGGTTATGTGTATCTAATTAGCAACGGTACCGCACCAGTGCACACATACCCCAAAGCGTCTTAGTTCATACCCAAAAACGATGTTATAATTGCTCCTCGTGGACCATGCTTGGCCGAGTGCGCGATTATTTGCCGTTCATCAAATTTCTCCGGCAAGGGATCGCCGAGAAATCGGGATGGCTTGCAGCTCCCTTTGCCCACGAAAAGGTGAAACCTGACGTCCCTAATGGCATTCGAGTTTTGATCAGCATCGCAGGGCTGCACCGTGCGAAACTCGCCAGTGTATGTGTGGCCATGGCAAACGGCGTTTCTGAACCCTGGATCGTCCATGTTTGCTAGCTCCTCGACGTGAACATGATAGGCCCTTGTGCTCTCATTCCTATGCCGAAGTCTCAAACACGCGAACATGGATTGGCTGCCTGACCCACTGCTGTCAGCTTCACAGTTCACCTGTAACTGTCTCCTCACGTAATCGTTGTACGTCAAAGACAGGCTAGCGCTGGGAACGGACAATCGGAACTTGAAAGCGCCTCCTTCCAAATACTGATAGTCTGCAGTGAACTCGGGCATGTCTTCTCCAGGTGTGAGGTTGTGCACTCCCACACTTTTCAAACCGGAATAGATTATCCTGTGGGGCTCGACGGTTGGGTAAGAAATTGAACGGGAGCGGGAGGATGGCTGTGGGTACCTGACAACTGCAGCGAAAACAAGAAAGCACCAAACGAACAAAACCAAGTTGGAGATGCCCCGATTTCAAAAGCAATGTAGGACGTGGACTTTCGTGACTTCCAAGTGCAAGTAATCGACTCAGGTGTTACATACCTGCAGATGTATTCACAGTTTAGCACACCAATCTACTAATTTTTTTAATCAAACCATTCCTTGAAAATTCTCTCTCGGACACCCTACAGAGCTTCAGTGACCTTGAGTAATTTGCAGTCAACTGAGCCGAATCTCACCCATAAACTGCATGTCACACGAACTACAGTTTTTGGACAATGTTCCGTCCGGTCTTCGTGACCTTTCTCAGGAAGTTTCATGAAGATGCAACAACGCGCCGTGGATCCACTTACATGATTTCCATTCGTCCTGGCCTTCATGGCGAGGAGTGGACGTCTCCGCTAAAGCATAATTCACACCTAACACTACTAGATAAAACACAATATTCTTCATGGCTGCTTATGACTATTGTGCACATGCGGCGTTGGCGGTTACTGAAGTGAAAGTGAATGACTCCAGGCTAATCAAGCCTTTATATGCGCATTTCCGATGTCCGTAATCCTACCTTCGCGGCCTCGTCCGACCATTGATCCTCCGAGCCGAGACACCGGCTCAGGCCCTCCGTGCCTCCTAACTCGATCACTTCGCTCTGTTCGTTGGAGACACTTATCTCGCGGGAGCTATTCCCGCATTCAAGCCCGGAACAGGTTTCGAGCAGCCGTGGATTGGTTTTAAGGTTGATTCCCCTCACCTTGTCAGCTAGCAGTGATCGCAGGATAGCCACCATACTGGCACACTCACTTTGCTATTAGCACCATGACCTTGGTGAATATCGTCACTATTTACTATGCCTATGGGCCTGCCCCACGACAGGTGAGTGCTAACGGTTGAAGGGTTGAAGGCTGGCGGCAGAAATTATGCAGAGGCAGGCCTCATTTCATCGGCCTTGCCTGGATGCCCCATCGGTGTTACGAAATATCCAATGAGTCGGCACACCTCTAGCTCTCGATCTCACAGCCTACACTCGCACACGCCCATGCCCAGGTTGTCCCTAACTATCGAACCCGTGGGTAAACATCAAGACATAGTCACGTTCTAAACAGTGAGAGGCCAATATGGTGGCCTGGTGCGAAATGCCTTCACGAATCGGGGCAACGCACTGGGAGAATACGTAGCATGACATCACACTGACGATGGTCTCGAAATGCCGGGCTAATGATATGTACGATTTGCTTCATTACGGTGCCACTCACTAAGCTGATGTAAGATTTAGTGCGACGAACAATGTGAAGTGTGAACACTTTGCGCCACGTTCACGCTTGGTTCTCCAAGCCCGCGTGGTGGAATAACTTTGCGAACCGTCCTCACGTTTCAACGTGTAACAGCACGAACTGATTCTTTGCTCTTGCACGAAACCTAACGACTGAATCAATGGCGTCCAGCACTACTGGATACAACAACCCTTGGGGCGAGTGTCGGTAGCTGGAAGTAACTATATGCACCTGTGTGCTGAGCCCATTTTCTTTTCCCTCCTTCTCTGCATATCAGTAGGGCAAGCAGTATCTTGCTGCCTGTGCTTCGTAACTGCACGAGCGTCACAACATGCGCTCCCCAGCCTACATAGCTCACCACCCCAGCAGCAGCATGACTGCAAGTTTTTGTATTTATGGATTCTCCACAGGCCTTAGCCTAAATTGAGGGAGTCTCCGTTGTGGATATTGGCATAAAACCATGCCTACTGCAGCTGTATTAGTTGGAAATAAGTCGGCCGAAGATCGCATGTGGTGGGGAGCTTGCACTAACATGCTCCTCGGTATGTTTTCATTGAGATAAAGACATCTACGAACAGGAATGCGTGGACACCTCAACCCATCATCGAGCCAAGAGAGCAAACATGTTACTAATGATACAATTATACTTAATCCAGCATTATATCGGCCACGAACACGTAACTCGACGTTGTTCCAGAGTGATTATACTAACAAATCACTGAACCATGCGTAGAGCGAACGTCCAAGTCAACACCCCACACGAAAGAGGTTAGCCAGAGCGAGTCCACAACACACCGCGGACAGTACTGCTTCGGCTTTTTACCCCCGTTATCGCGTTAGTGCAAAAGAAAAATTCGACCGAACTGTGGACTCGTTCAGATCTGACAGTTACAACTGGGTAGATAATGGAATTTGACCCAACTATAGTCTAAATGTACAATGTAGTCATTTACTAAAAAAACTATAGTCCATTGAAAGAAAAACACAGACGCTTCATGCTTCACGTTGGCAGCAAACCATCCTGTCTGGACAGGCACACAGCACTCAGGTACTATCGCTCAACACTTCAAAACTGCTAAAGCGCAGATCATCTCTGAAACTGCGAAAGGAGGCACTGACACCGACGGTGGCACAAGCCGATTAACCCTTCCGGGTATCGCAAAAGGAACAGTTAGCAACTCTCAGCTAGTTGTCGTCTCCATGGCTTGATGGACAGATTCCACATACACATGTAACCAGCATTCTCGGAGAAGATGGTGGCATGAGATTTGCGACACGTGCTGTCAACTGCGCCACAGGGTTTTGTGATGTGGAAGTGGCCCAAGCATTTCTCGTCTTCCAGGAGATGGGTCCCATCACTGGCCATCAGCTTTCTATTAGTACCTATTATCATCCCAAGTTTCGACTAGGGGCAAGACCTCCTGCAGGTGCATGAGTGAGTGTAAATGCGAGTCTTTCCGAGATGCTAACGATGGCACTGCTCAATCGCAACTCGCTTGCTTTCCATGGTAAGGGAACGTGACGGTGGTCGTCCACCATACGGTTGAAATCGTGTGCCCACTGCACAAGAGCGGGTATATTGGAGCACGTGTGTTCTGAGGTGTTTTGCAACTAACTGTTTAGTGTGCGATTGTTGCACTAACTCTGTCGACAGAAATCTTAAGTCAATCGCGTTCCATTCGGAGTCCTGTAGGTATTTTAAGCTAATCAGCCCGTTTGCGAGCATTTTCGGCGTTGTCCTACCTGAAGGCACATTCCTATACTTTGAAACATTTCAACCAAGTTCCGAATGCGTATGAACATTATCATGTTGTTATTCCTGGTCATGGTCTCCCAGGCCAGTCATGCTCCACTGAACCTGTCCAGGTAGGTAACATTTTTGTCTGAAGAAGTCCACCGCCGAGAGAATGACCTTGCTAAGCACATTATAGCTTAGTCTGCTATTACGCGTTCTTCTTAGATCACATCACGCATTCTGAAAAATCGAACAGGTGTCCGCAGCATGAAAGCATCGTCGCTCAAATTGCAATTTCGTTCTGCAATACTGCATAACAGACACATGCACATGGAATGCGCGCACGCACGCGCACACACACACACCTTGGTCCTTGGTCCTTGGTAACACTGCCATCAAATGGTCACGTGTCCCCTGTGCAGGGGTCGACAGCACTGAGTTCAGCATTGGACCCAGAAACGCCGCTCTACTTCCTGGACAGGAAATTAGCACAGCTATGCAGGTCGAAACCACGGGATGACTTGCAGCAGCGACCGCAGCCGAGACAATGCGCACACACACACACACACACACACACACACACATATACACACACTTAGTGAAGGTAATCAACGATATGTTCGCACTCTCTGTCTCTCTGTCCCGCTCGCTCTTTTTCGCTCTTCCTGCCTCTCTCTCACTCTCTCTCTCTCTCTTTCTCTCTTTTTTCTCTCTCTCTCTCTTTCTCTCTTTTTCTCTCTCTCTCTCTCTCTCTCTCTCTCTCTCTCTCTCTCTCTCTCTCTCTCTCTCTCTCTCTCTCTCTCTCTCTCTCTCTCTCTCTCTCTCTCTCTCTCTCTCTCTCTCTCTCCCTCTGTTTCTCTCTGTTTCTCTCTCTCTCTCTCTCCCCTTTATCTCTCTGTGTATTGGGAGATATGAATACAATCATGTAGCATGCTAGAAAAGCAAGTGTAAGGGTGGACACGGACGGGTCCAGTAAACCATCCAACTCTCTCCCAAAAGTACATCGTGATTATTTACCGTTAAATGTTGTATTTTCAGGATCCAGTGCGGATATGACCTGTACAAAGATCTACAGAACACTGAAAATGTGTGAGCTTCCAGGGCAAGATTTTCTTCTCTTCGCTTTCCGTGCCAATGCGCTGTTGACTTGAAGGCCACTTACAATAGTATGCGAATGCTAATACAAGTACTTAGCTTATGTGCATATGCTCCGGATACACATTACTATCAAAGGTGATGATGAGCGCAAACAGCACTTTCTCATTGTGCAACCAAGCATCGGAATCAACTGCACCGGTCTTGTAGCGATTATTGCTAAACCACAAGATCTATTGCCCGGAGCAAGCTTATGATCAGTGCGTGCATGTGTCTTCTGTTCTAGCGCGTCTGTAGTGCATCCCGCGCCAGCCATTCAAGCCTGGTGTAGTTCAATTACAGGACACAATAGGCAAGATGTTGACCCGGAGTGTGCCATACAGACCTGTGATTGTCCTGTACTATGGCCCTACTTCCGGTGCAAGCGCCTGTGGCACTCTGCGTAGGCCATGTACAATGTACATTTACATGTATGTGCGAAGGTACACCATGCTGGTTGCTATGGTGGTCGAAGATCCCTAGCCACCCGATATTACTAGACTGAAGACCCCTAGACCTACCGTCATACCTCTTCATGAGCAGTACAGGACTTTGCAGTACAGAACCTCACAGTACAGGACTTTGCAGTACACTCTGACTGGCTATCCGTTCAGTATCCTTATTTTCAGGATCAAGTGCCTATAATATATGACCTGTGCAGGGATCTACATAACACTGACCACGTGTGAGCGTCCAGGGCAAGACTTTCTTCTTTTCGCTTACCGTGCCAACGCGCTGTTGACTTGGTCGCAGTACCTAGCTGCAGTGGTAAAGGGGTTAACCACAGAAGAGGGGTGGTTGGCGTGCATAGCAATCTTCACCTTGAGACTTGCCTACACAATCTTTATCATCATTGCTTCGGTGTGCACCTACTCGGATTCCCCGTTCGTCCCTCGCGAATAAACAATGACATTGCACTCTTTCTACTACTAATCACGATACTGATATCTGCTGGGATCGTGTCGAACGAGCAGTGAACGATTTCATTATGAATCCATTATAATATTATGCATCCAGCTAATGTTTTGGCATCATGTTATTCCTGGTACTCTTCATCCTCACAATAGCTGCCGCCTGTTACGTGTTGGGTCGCAACACTAAGTAGCTGCTGCATTCTAACTGACATTCTAACTGACAGCTACCAAGAGCGGGTTGTGATGGAGCGCGTCTACTCCTCTTCAGCTCGGATGTCTGCGAGACAAGTCACTCAGGGTCGCTAGCTCGGAGAGGCTAGAAATAAACCTGCGTCAGAAAGACTCGTACTCACCTTACCTCCGCACACGTGGGGAGTCGGTATCAATACCAGTCTGCTCCGAGGCCTCTTCGAAAATGTTGTGATGAAAATTAATGATGGATCATCTAGTCCACTATTGCA